CTATGAGAAGCTGATGATCAGAGCCACAATCAGCTCCAGGTCTTGTTTTTGCTGACTGTATAGAGCTTCTCCATCTTTGGCTGCAGAGGACATAAGCAATCTGATTTTGGTATTGCCCATATGGTGATGTCCATGTGTAGAGTCGCCTCTTGTGTTTTTGGAAAAGAGTGTTTGTGATGACCAGCTTGTTGTCTTGACAAAACTCTATTAGTCTTTGCCCTACTTTATTATGAACTCCAAGTCCAAACTTACCTGTTGTTCCTTTTATCTCTTGACTCCCTATGTTAGCATTCCAGTCCCCATAAATGAGAAGAACATCTTTCTTTGGTGTCAGTTCTAGAAGGTGTTGTAAGTCTTCATAAAATTGGTCAATTTCAGTCTCCTCAACATTGGTGTTTGGTGCATAAATGTGGATTATTGTGATGTTGAATGGTCTGCCTTGAATTCGTATTGAAATCATTCTATCATTTTTGAAATTATATCCCATTACAGCTTTTCCCACTCTTCTGTTGACTATGAGGACTACTCCATAGCTTCTACAGGATTCTTGCCCACAATAGTAGATATGATATTCATCTGAATTGAATTCGCCCATTCCTGTCCATTTTAGTTCACTGATGCCCAGGATGCCAATGTTTTTTCTTGTCATCTCCTGTTTGACCACATGCAGCTTCCCAAGGTTCATAGATCTTACATTTAGGTTCCTATGCAGTATTTTTCTTTGCAGCATCGGACTTTCCTTTCACTTCCAGGCACGTCCACAGCTGAGCATCCTTTCGGCTTTGGCTCAACCACTTCATTAGCTCTGGAGCTACTTGTCCTTGTCCTCTGCTCTTCCTCAGTAGCATGATGGACACCTTCCAACCTGAGGGGCTCATCTTCCAGCGTCATATCTTTTAGCCTTTTGTTTATGTTCATGGGGTATTCTTGGCAAAGAAACTGGAGATGCTTGCCAATTCCTACTCCAGGTGGATCGTGTTTAGTCAGAACTCTCCACTATGGCCTGTCCGTCTTGGGTGTCCCTGCACAACATAGCCCACAGCTTCTCTTCACCATGACAAGGCAGAAAACCTGCCTTGGATTTGATACCTCTGTACTAATCTCTGAAAACTAGAAAGAAGAAACTGTACTGTGGCTGAGGCTCTTTGAAATGCTTGGAAACTACTAATATAAAATATGTTTTCCAAGCAAATGGCTCTTAATTCATCTGTCCTGTAAATCACAAGGCCTGAGATACTTCCTTCTATGTTCATATATATCCATGCATAATTGTTACTGTATAGTGAGATAAATAGCTCAATAAGTTGGAGTACCAGAGCTGAGAGTTTGAATCCCTATGTAGGCAGCACAGCCCTAAAGTGCCACCAAAAGAAGGATTTGGTAAACCTTATCTGAGTACTGGGAAGCCTTGACAAGGGTTGTTGTAATTCAAAATTGACTTGACGGCACATTCTTATTCAAGAAAAAGAAGACACCATCCCCATACAGTTTGAGGCAAACTACAGTATAATGTATCTGCAAAGTCAATTTGCTGAGTGGTATCATTCCATTGCAATGTCTAGACTTAACAGATGCCAGACATTATTGTGATTGAGAAAACACACATGTGCATGGTATTACTCAAATGAACCAAAGGGGGAGTTGTGTTGCAATGTTCAATTCCCCCATTGCTGCACCTTGTCAAGTATAAAAAATTCAGTACATATATCTTTTTATTTCAAGCAGGCCCCAAAATGCAGAATCAACAGCAGAGGAATCAAAGTCTGTACCAGCAGACTGTTGCACTCTTGTGGAAAAACATCATTATGAAGTGGAGAATGAGAATGCAAAGTTTTCAGGTGAGCATAAATAGAGGTGACAGAAGAAAAGCGTGAAATAATATTTGGGTTCAGCATTTCTTCTGATTTTTTTAACACTGAAGCTCCGGAAATTTGCCAGAACTCAAATACAGCCGGCATTATTATGTGTGTTGTACAACTTTGTCATGGATCATCATTGCTTTGGTACAAAAAGCTGGAGAAGTTGGTCATCAGTATCATGACAGAGACGGTTTTCCACTGTTCTTTTTTTTCCTTTTCTAATTTTTTTCCTGAGGAAAAAGGGCTATGCTCCTGGAGAAGAAATGGTTTATTGCCATCCGCCATATTGTAAGTGCAAGGACATTGAGTGAGTTGGCAAAGCTGTTTTCTCAATTGAGATGCTACGGAGTCCTAACATGGTGGTCCCGCTTTGGTTGAATCAGAGCAGAGCTTCGTGTCTGCTGTAACACCCAAGAGGCAGTCTCAGTATATTACCAGTCCAATGCATGATATAGTTTGTTAGAAGAACAAACAGGAGCTAAGCTAATATGTTAGTTCAGCCTCTGAATATTTGTTAGAGAAACACAGTGAGAGAGGAAGGGTCTTCACAACCAGAGCTTAGAATGTGAGGTTTTAAAAAAGTAGTTAAATGTCAAAAATTGGGAAACAACTTGTTATCATTTGTGTTGTGATGTGGGAAGGGGGGCAGGCTGTGGGAGTGGAGGAAGCGAACCAGGAAGTTTATTAAATCTAAAAAAATGTTAATTCAGGAAAGTTCGGGTTCTCTGGTTTGGATGAACGCAAACTAATGAACCAGTGATTTTTCACGAACGTCCTGATTCATTTTTTTGGTTTGTGCCCATCTCTAGTTTCCTTACCTAATTTCTTTCTCTTCTGCTTCTGTGTACATGTAGATGCTCATATTTGTTGCAATCAAAGATCTGTGTCCTGCCTTATCTTTGTAGATACATAGTCATCATTGATCTGCAAAGTATGTCTACAAAGAGACCAATCTTCTAGCATCACCGGGGTATTGTTCTCCATGTTATTGTCACAGATTTATTTGTTATCCATAGGAATGGTTCTCAGCACTAGTTTTAAGCTCTGTCATGGTGTTGCTGTTATTAACACTGAACTTTGAGGAAAGTGTGGAAGTACATCGGGCATCGCTTGGGCAGCTAAATGAGCTGGTAAACCACAACCTAACTGCGTTAAGAGTTGTTTATACCCCAGACACGAAGATGACAAGAGAAATAATGGGAAAAATAGAAACCATATCTGTATTGAAAGGTATGTAATGACTGTTGAAGCATTTCATTTATTCTCGAAGGCTTTCATGGCTGGGATCTGATGGTTATTGTGGGTTTTTCAGGCCCTTTGGCTGTGTTCTGAAGGTTGTTCTTCCTGATGTTTCACCAGTCTCTGTGGCCGGCATCTTCAGAGGACTGGAGTAGGAACTCCGTCCATCGTCTGTTGGACAGAGCATAAGAGTTCCTACTCCATGGCAGTTTCCTCCTGATTATGGAAAGTAAATGCTAGCTGGATAGTTCAGTGGCTTAAATATCTGGCTGTGAAGCTAGAGGTTGGGAGTTTGATTCCACACGGTGCTTCCTAGGAAAAGGGCCACCTGTGTGCCCTTTGGAAAGCTGCACACTCCATGGGCACCTCCAGAAGAAGGGAAGAGTAAACCACTGCTATTACTCTCTACCTAGAAAACTCTAAAAAAAGAGTTGCTGTAAGTCAGAATTGACTTGATGATAACAAATTATAATAATTATTAAATGATACATGCATTATTTTTTCATTATTCTTGGAGAACACAAATTGAATTAAATAATTATTTAAACATGCAGATTAATGCAAATTTCCTTTCCATCACTAGCAAATCAGCAAGTTTTTGGGTTCAAATCCCAAATCCGAGTCCAAATCTTTGGTAACAAGTCTCGAATCCAGTGGTAGGGTTCAAATAAATTAACAACAGGTTCTATGTCCTAATGACCATGACAGTGGAAGACAGGAGGGCCTGGTGTGCTCTCGTCCATGGGGTCACAAAGAGTCGGACACGACTTAACAACTAAACAACAACACATGTTGCTTTTTATTTTTGTCTTTGTCATATTATGTTTATAATTAACATAATTTTAAATTTAAAAAAAGACAGAATGGGTGTTACTGGATCTCTTAGCCTTGCTCCTTTGGACACGTGCTTATCCCTGTACTGAACCAGCCAAGAAACAACCCTGAGGTGGATCTCAACACATGTAATCCTGACCCTCTTCTTGCATGCTCGCAGAAGCCCATCGAGGGAGAGCATCTCCTTGCGCCCTCTGATCTGTTGCCGCCCTACCAAACCTATGCAGGTTTCCTCCGAAATAACTTTTTGGGCAGTTTGGAAATCTATGCATTGGGTGGGATTCCTAAATTAACAGCCACTGTCCCTGGTGAGGGTGTGTGCTCTGCCCTTCCCTCCTTGTGAACAGACCTCTCCCATGCGGTCACATTCTCCCAATGTCCAGGCAGTCACCGAGGGACAGGCAGAGGCAGATCCATCTCCAGCCTCCATTTTCTGCACCCCCGCCTGTCTCTGATTGGCCAGTATTTTCTTGCCTATTAAACAGGTCCCCACACTGGATTGGCCATTCTGTGCAGACCCAGGAAGAGGGGAGGGAAATCTCCCTCCACTCTGTTATTCTTTACCCCCCCTCATTTTCCCACCCCCCGCTCACTTCCTAGCTTCTCCTCAGACAGTGCTGCCCTCCCTTGGTTCCCCCACCCCAGCAAATGCCTGCCTGGCTGCCAGCTCCACAGGAGTGGCGTGTCCTCAGAAGCCTCACTGATCAGCTTCAGGGCAAGGGGGCTACCCAGAAAGTGGTGGCCAGAGCTGTCACTCAGTGCCACCTGGTTTGGGCATAGGCTCCCTGGAGAGACATGGGCAGAGTTCATGCTCAGCACCCCCTCCCAGCTCCCGGTTTGTGAGTCACACAGACTGCACAACCCATCCATTCTATTAAATGCCTTGTGCGGGCAGGCAGGCGGTGTTAGCAGGGCAGCTGCCACCACCACCGCTGCTACTGCTGCCACTGCTGCTGCTGTTGCTGCTGTTGCTTCTCCTCCCTGAGTGCGGGCTCCTCCTGCTTCTGTGGGCTTAGCCCTCCTCGGTGTGCGGGCTGCTCCTGTTCCTGCTGGTATCGCCGTCTCCCCCTCGGTCCTGCTACATGGCTAGCTAGTTGTCCTACTTGTTCCCATGTCACCTCCTTCTGTCCAGCTGCAGTCCCAACTTCCCTCCCAGCCAGAGGTGGAATTCAGCAAACGGTTCTGCAGAACCAATAGTACATTAAGTATCGGTTCTGTAGAACTGGTGCGAACCGGCTAAATCCCACCACTGCCCAAATCCCTATTAAAAACAAGCTTTTTTTCTCCACGTTCCAAGTCACAAGTCAAGTCCAAGTCATAAAGAAAAAAAACTCTCTGAGTTGAGTCAAAGTTGAGTCACCAGTGCAACTTAAATCTGACTTGACAGAGTCCTGCAACTGAAGTCCCTGCCCCTGGAGGAAATAAAGATGTTCTCAGCATCTTAATGAAATGTTCTTCCAAACTGTCAAACACTCCCAACACCCTCCTACAGATAAAGGATAGGCAGTTGCAGAAGGTCTTCAATGCCCAGCCTGCGCTGTTTTTGACATCCTGTGACCCTTTTGATTATGACATGTCCATTTTCCTGAGTTTTTAAAATGTTGTTTCTGGCTATTTTGAAGTTCAGGCCCTAAAAATAGGAATCAAATGGAGGACCATGACCTCTGGTGGTCCTCCTTTTTTGGCCAATTGTTTAAACCAGTGACAAGCTTAAGGGACTGCACAACACACACACACACAGTCTGCATTCAACCTGCAGGCCACATAATTCCTACCTTTGATATCAACATTTGATAACACTAGGGATCACATAGCGTTGGTACATAACCACAAATACCGGAGATCTGAAGAGCATTGCCTCAGCATCACACTCTGAAAATGATCATACAGTGAACACAGCCACTGATGTATAGCATTCCTGCTACCCATTCCATTAAGATACCAATAGTAAAAGATGCAGAGAGACTGAATAAGAGAGAAAGGGTTGCACTTTCCTTCCTCAACAGAAGGTCAATCAAGGATTATTCAGTCTTCAGACTAGGTCCGAGCCCAGACGGGATGGGTTCCAGACAACCACTTTCCTGGAATAATGCTTTCCATTGGTACATCACAGCCCTCGTGACTGCCTTCCGTAATTTTCTCTTTGTAATTTGAGTCATACTGAAGAGTAAAATATTAATATTGGGGAATAAGGCACTGTGCTATGGAGACATTCTGTGCCCCTTCAGCACCGCCCAAAGCAAGTGCCCCACTCTGCCTAATAGGAGGGCTGGCCCAATGATGAACTGCTCAGTCAGTGGTTTAGGAGGTTGGGAGTTTCATTCCTCACTGTGCCTCTCTGATGATTTATATAGATTCCCTTCCAGCTCTAAGATTTCTATTATAATCATCAGTTATTGTCTTGAGCCAGTGCCTAGAGGTTGCTTTTACATGTGTACCCTATTTTGAACATAGTAAGGGCCTAATCTATGTGCTGTCCTTTGTTTGTATCTCAGGTTGTCCATAGGAATAAGCATTTGAAATGCACAGGGGAAGCTCTTGAAAGAACCACTGTTATTGCTTCCACCAGAGCTGAAGAAATTAGTTATTCACTTGCCTCTTTTTCAGTTTGGATAAAGTGATGTTGCTGAATAGTGTGCATGTTTGTATGGGAGGTGACTGTAGGACCAGATTGTTCCTCACTCTGATGATCATGGTTGCTTATCCCTGATTATGATTTTTATACTTTTCAGGTCTCTTTCTTATTGCGTCAGCCAGTTGCAGTTCAGAAGTCTAAAGTTCAAACTAATAAATGACCCCCCCTTAAAAATCAGTTTATGAATTCTGCAAGTGACATCTTGCTCAATCTTTCCATATTTTTATGGTACACCTATGAATGTAACACTATGAGAACATCTGGTCTCTCATATCAGGCAAAAACAAATTAAAAAAAGATGAAAATATTGATATTGAGAGTATGTATGTATGTATGTATGTATAGTGACAGCAGGATTATCATGTTACAGGTATAAGAACAGAAATAGTTGGAGATGAAAAAGCCATGGATGTAATCCAAGAAGAGAACGATGACATAATTGGAGTAGTATTTGTGGATGATGTTTCTTATCGACTCAGATTTCCTTTGGGTAAAGTGGTTTCTCCCAGCGATTATATTGGACAATTAGGTAATTCAAGGTGAATTTGTATTCATTTTCCAGCTGTTTTCTTAAAAACCACACAGGTACATCAAAGCCATGTGTAAATTTGAACTCCTGTTATCATATATTGTCATTCTGTGTTTTATTTCAATGTAGAAAATATACTGGTACACTTGTTCATTTTGTATGCACATTTGTGAACACTTAGATAGTATTAATGAATCCAAGGCAGACCTTTCAACATCACAGTAATCTGCACCAACCACCGATGCAGAAGAGGCTGAAATTGACCAATTCTATGAAGACTTACAACACTTTCTAGAACTGACACCAAAGAAAGATGTTCTTCTCATTGTAGGGCACTGGAATGCTAAAGTAGGGAGTCAAGAGATAAAATAAAAGGAAGGTAAGTATGGTCTTGGAGTTCAAAATGAAGCAGGGCAAAGGCTTATAGAGTTTTGTTAAGAGAACAAGCTGGTCATCACAAACACTCTTTTCCAACAACACAAGAGGCGACTCTACACATGGAAATCACCAGATGGGCAATACCAAAATCAGATTGCTTATGTTCTCTGCAGCCAAAGATGGAGAAGCTCTATACAGTCAGCAGAAACAAGACCTGGAGCTGATTGTGGCTCTGATCATCAGCTTCTTATATCAAAATTCAAGCTTAAATTGAAGAAAGTAAAAAAAAAAACCACTGGGCTAGTCAGGTATAATCTAAAC